GAACTGGTAGCCCGCACTGGTACTCCGCACTAACGCCCCGGAGCTCGGTCCGGCCGAGATCCGACCAGTTCGGGCAATGGGATATCTTCACCCTCCTGCTCCGCCAAAGGCACATTGCAGATGAGAAAAGCGTGCGAGGTGGAGCCAGAGTTTTAGCCAATATTTACTCTGAAATCCACAACTGTTTTGCCTTCCTTTTTGTCATCTGGTAACCATTTGAAACCTTAAATGCAGCTATTTTTTTTTTGTCCAGTTTCAACAAGTTTTGGCGAACGCTTGGGAACTGAGCACTCCTCCAGCCTCCTATCCTAACCAATAAAGCTCAGCTCCTGCAAATCTCTCTCTAGTGGGGCAGTGTTGGCTGCTCTGACTCGAGAAAAGTGCAAGGATGAATGAAACTTGACTAGGAATTTTAATTCCTAAGGGATTCCTAAAGTTATTCTTATTTCGTCAGTAATTTTTGTCACAGCAGTGAAACTATTGAGGACATTAAATTATTTATGATAGAGTATGACCGTGATACAATGATGAAGTTTCATGATTAATATCATTAAGTGTTTGTCTTAGTATATAGGTTTTTGTTTTTCAGCTCTGGAGTTCCCTATTATAATAGTAGCAAGAGTAACAACAATAATAGCACTTGAAGTAACTGATTCTAGACCCTAGCATGCTTTTCTCTATTAAAAACAAACAAACCAACGCCTGGGAATTTCAAAGATACCTGTAAAAATTCAGACTCGGACACTGCGTCCAACCCCAGATCTGCTCTCAGGGCTATTGCTGCCGCTCAAAGCAAGCTGTGCAAAGTTCTGCCTGCAGCAGTGGCAGTGCTCTGCCTTGCAGAGAGCAAAGAGCAAGCTGAAAATTATAGGCAGGGAGAAGTGCCAGGGTGGTACTATACTAATCCTTGCTGAGACAACAACTTGTGTTGGAGGCTCGCAGAGAGTCCGGAATTTAATTTCGGGAGGGAAGGATCTGTAAACAATATAGTCGAGTTGGTAAAAAACCTCCCTTACAATAGCCTGCCAGAAGGTGAATGTCAGATCAAAGGAGAACTGAAAAGATGTCCTTTCATATTTTTTTCCCCTAAATCAGCCATGGAAACTTCATGACTCCATAAAACATGTGCTGCTTTGCTGAGGAGACAGCCTCCAGTTTCCCCTCGGAGAAAGTTTCTCTTCCCCTCTTACTGCCTAACTTGTGTTTTGGTTTGGTTTTATGTTTTTCTGCCTTTTTTTTTTCCTTTTCTTTTTGAATCCATGATGCCCAAGACATATAGTGCCTTACTCATTTCATATCACACACAAATGGTTTTGCTCTTAACTTTCCACCTCTCTCCCCAAACAGGAACAAAGTCAGGAAATGAGGCACAAGACTCCCCTTGTAATGAGGAAGAGAAAACGACTTTACAGAAACATCCTGGAAAAGTCAAGTAAGTTAAAATATGTCCTTTTTACAGTTCAAAGGAGACTATTTTTTTCAGCTTAGTGTTTAACGTACTTGCATAAACACAAATCAGCGACAGAACTCCCCACCAGCAGCTGCCTAATCCTGCTCAATGCCTATTCATTTGCGGGTTCTAGAATTAATATTTGACGACTCTCTCATTGAAACAACAACCCCTGACCCCATGTGATTGCACTGTCACATTATTCTATGACATATTCATCTTGAATTCATTTACGGACGATTTGATTGGAATGAGGTTTGACATGTATTGGATCCTATTAAAGAAGAAGACTTTGATCTTGTTGATGGGGTTTACATGATATGTATCATCTTTACCAGGGATACCAGGCTTCCACAATGTGGTGTCTAAGTAGTTAGTGACTGACAGCTTATCTGACAGGAATACCTTAATCTTGAGGTCCTGAATGAAATATTCTATTTAAAATAAGCATATGATTTGCTTGTCCTAGGGTAGCTCTAGGTCACAAAATGTGAGAGGGAAACCTAGGCACAAACCGTTGCTTGTCTGGTAGGTGGCTTCCCATTGTCCGGGAACCCTGAAGTAAAGAACTCCCCTTAAGCAGGAATGGGACGAGGGAATAAAAACAAAGGCAGAGTGTGCTCTCGAGCTACTAGGCACCCTCTGCTCTCTGAGGTGAGGATGGGTTTGCTGAAAACCTTTCTTGAACCACCTCTTACTAACCAGCAGTGCCTTCTGCCGGGGCAGGCAGAGACTCGGGCTCATGTCCTGAGTCTGCCTCCTTCATCCCTTCCTACCCAGTGTGGGTTTAGGGGATAAGGAATTGCATAGAGTGACTTCTCTGTCCTCTCTGTTTCTGTTCGGGTTTTTTTCCTTTCTCGCAGTAAAGATTAGGGTTTTTTCAGATTGATCCGCTCACCTCCTCTCGTTTGGGAGTTGAAACCTAAAGATAACCCCCCGAATGCCTGCCTGAAGTGTTCAGAGCGTCCTATTCCATCCCAGCCCTCGAGTACAGGCTGGATAGTTTCTAGCTGGCTCGTGGGGAAGGGAAGTTTCTGCACAGGCGGAAGTGGGAGAACATGGGGTGAGTAAAGGTCAGATTTTGCTCTCTCCGATGTTTCCCGTGGGCAGGAGCTGTGCCTTGCACTGAGCACGATTATAAGGGAGAGCAGGATTTGGCTCTGTCTTCTGTTAGAAATAGGAAGAGTCTTGATGTGGAGGTAGATTCCTACCAAAAACCAAGGCAAAGGTAAAGCCGTTGAGCAGGTGGGGCTGTTCCCTCCCAGCAAGGAGATGTGCAGCCGTTTTCACGCCGCAGGCCCGGCAACCCGGTGCGGAGCGGGGGTGTGTGCAGATAGAGGCCGAAGGGTTGGGGCTGCCCGCCTCGGCCCCGCACCCCCGAGATGTGGGCAGGTGGAGATCTGGGTCCGGCATGGCAGGGCGGAAAGCAGGGAGACAGCTCAGCCCCTCTCAGCCCCGACGTCGGGGGCTCCTGCCTTTTCCCGGCGGTTGTCCGGCCAGCCTCTCCCCCGAGAGAGCCGAGTCGGACGCAGGGGCAGACGGCTGGAGGGACGAGAAACGCTTGTGACTCGTCTGTACAACATATCACCTCTTTAGAGCAACCCTCCAGCACGGGTGAGCTTTGGGGCCGGGGGCTGCAGACGGGGTCGCAGACACAGCAGCAACAGGAAAATTTGTACTCAGGATCAAGCTGCCAGTTTATTGACCCTGCAGAACCTGATGTTGACACATTTGAGAGTTTGCCGAGAGCCCGGCATGTCTGGTCAATCACGGCTCAGGCCGCTGCCAAGAAGCAGGAGACCTCGGTCACCTCTCTAGTGGCAGCAGTATGAGCTCGAGCTGCCAAAGGTCTGCACAGACAGGCGGTTTTCAAAACAGTGTGGGAGATGCGCGGAGCCCGGCCGGGTCTGGGCCCGCTTCCCTCCTCTTCCCCGTTTCTCCGCCTCCTGCAATCATGTGGCGGCCTCCGCCCCACTCCCCCCACCCACGCAACCGGGGCTCACACCAACCTCACCTAACAGTGAGGGACACCGAGGGCCAGGTTCTCTTGCACTGCCTGAGAAAGGGTGTGAGAGACATCCCTGAGTGAGGGGCAAGCTGAGAGCCATGAGTGTCTGGCGAGAAATCATCACAACCTTTGAAATGAACTTAGGGCAAACCGGTTATGACATTTTTTTTAATTGACAAACTGTTCCAGATGTTTTCTCACTTGACTGAGAAGTGTCAAATGATGGATAACAAGTATGTAGAGATGCAGTGTTTTAAAGAGGTATGAGGAAAGCAGCTTTATTTGGGATTCCCACTCTCAGTACATTTGTAAGTAACAGATTCATACTTCCTAACGTTTGTCTCTTCCGTGCACTCCTATTGAGATGGTCATGAATAGGACTGTCAAATCCATTTCGTAGAGCAAGTAGACTAGAAAGTTGAGATATTGTGAGGATGGTGTGTGGTTTAAATTGCCTGCGTAAACATGTTATGTAAGGATGGAGAGCTAATTGCATCATTTGTCACTTTTCATCATCTCCACTCAGAAAGATGCACGCAAGGATGTATCTATGGCTACCTACCTGCATATCAGCCTTGTGTTACAGAGGAAATATAGTAAATGCAAGGAGAGCCAAAATTACAGCCAACTCAGAGTATGTGAAGCTGTGAAAAAAATATCCCCTATATGGTTATGTATGTCCTACTCTTTAATCTTATGGTTTCCAATCATTGGCTGGTAGCTTCTGTTATGAAAGTAGCTGGGTTGATATTGCCAAACCGTTTCTTGTTTTATTACATCGGAAAAAAAACTATCAATTGCCAAAACTGTTACATTCTTACGGAAATGCAAAATTATACACTGGGAGCTTTGCCTGGCATGCATCTGGTAAAGTATCCACTGGCAAGTTAACAGCAAATCAATGTGTTAAAGTACTTATAGTTTGACACGGTGGATAGAGAATTAATCGTTGTTTTATTTCATAAGACTGAGAGGTTATTAGGGGAGCTGTTCTTATGTCATGATCCGAGTACTGTGCTAATACGGTGGGTAGATATTTAGAGATGTGTTTCTCTTTCCTGGAGCAGAAGAGTCTTTCCCCATGTTTCATTTACTTTTTTTAAGTTCACAATCCTCTTCTTAAAAACTTAAGCAGATGCTTCCTTCTGTGCTGAAGCCCTAAGCTTTTCTAAACCTATAAGGCCTCATTGTATCCAGCTGAAGCCCAAACCTACACTTTCATTACTAGCACGCAAACCCTGCAGACCGTGTTATTCCTTTCAGGTGAGAATCATCAGAACCGAGTCCGTTAGAAATGTTTGGCAATGTTTTTCCTTCAAGCCAAGGATGGGGATTTTACGTAGAATTACCCTGTAAGTGTGCGTGAGAGAAAGTGAGAGAGAGGGAAAGGGAGAGAGACTCCCTCTTCTGGGTTAAACACTCAGATTCAGCCTGAACATCGCGATTTCTCGCATTGCTCCGGCGTCCAGTAACGAGATAGCTGCTAAAACTTGCCAGAGGCGGGGAAGGGGACGAGGGCTCTCCCAGAGATCCTTTGTCCGGGCTC